TTTGCAATTTAGGTCACTTAATCCAAGTGTTTTTTGAATTATGTCCCTATTAAAGTAATGAATAAATAATTATGTCTTTTTAAAAGGGATATAGTTGATCTGTGAAATTTTATATGCTAAATACTTTAGGAACCTATCTTTAATCTGAATGCTTGGATTTTAATATTAAATAAGATAAGGCTTTAACTCTATGGCAGATTACAATTTGATTAACTTTTGCATACTTGCTAATTTTTTCTTAACTATTAATAATCTTAGTTGACAAAAAATTTTTTAATTAATTAGTTGTTTTTAATATAATTAATAGTTATAATTAAAAATCCTGAATTTTGATTGACTAATTTTAAACTTTGCAACTAATAATTTGTAACACCATTGATTATGTTTCCTAGGCATGTCTTAATATAACAAGTATTACTCTCTTATGGTGTATAACAGTAACATCATATCTTTCTTTCTTAAAGATTACTTTACTGTAGTAATATAGATTTAGTTTATACTTCAAGAAATATATAATATAATTGTACAAAGTTATAGCATTTATTGAATAAATCAAGAGAATATAATGTGTATTCTAAAACTCTAAATTCAAAACTCCATGCTTAACTCTAATTTGAATTCTGACTAATTGTTTAATTATATTAACCATTCTATTTATATGCTTTGTTGATGCATCCTTTTTATTACATACTATTATTAATTATTATTATTATTATTATTATTATTATTTAAAGTGCACTAGCAATAATTGTCTAACTGGATGTTTATTTCTCATAACAATGTTTACATATATTTTTGACATTATTATCTAGGACTATACCATAATGTATCAGTTGTCAGTTACATCCAATACTTATTAGGATTGCTTCAAATAATGATATTTGCTATAGTTTGTTTCTAACTATATTAGGTATAAAGGCTAATATACTGGACAAAGGTATTCTCTTGTTGGATTAATAGTATGCATTTTTATTAGTAATCGAACAGCTTTATTTTTAACTAGGGAAAAATTAAGAGGAAGTTGAAAAGAGGCACTAGAGTAATATTTATAATAAATAAAGCTACATAATTACTGCTTGCTTTATTAGAAATAAATCCCTTTAATACTACCTACAGCGGGCTAACCATTTAATTTCTTACTTGTCCAATGATATTCAAGAATATTCACGGTATTTATAACTGGTACTTATGACCTAAACACTGACTTATACATTGCAGGAAACAGGACTTATAGCCAGAAGCCTTCTTGGGATAAGTACTGTTAGACTGGTTTATTATTGAATTGGAATAAAACTAGAGCAGAGATTTGTGTGAAAAATATCAGATATTAGAAAAGAATCATTAAACCTATTGTTAAAAGCAAATATTTCATACATCTTGCAACTTCTGGTGATTATTATAATACCAATTAGATAATTGTCACACTATGACATCTTTTCTGGAAATCACAATCTTAATGCCTACTGGATTAATATATAAAACAGTTTCTTATAAAAAACAGCACTTTTACAGGTTATGGTGCCAGATACTATATTAATTCTATTTAATCACCCTCACATGAGATTGAACTAATATTTTGTGATTTAATTTGTGAAGTGTTAAACACTACACTATAGACTCACAAATCTCTATTATCAATTATTATATCATCTTACTATCTATATTACTATTATTATGTAATATGCCACAATATTGCATTTTTATTCTTATTGTTTTCACAATTGTAGGTATAGTCACTATTCAACTATACTTAATATATATAATATTGATTTAAATTTTTTTTTGATATTAGTTAAATATAAATAGATAGGCAAGTTAGAATTTAATTAGTTATATGTTTTGTATTTAAAAGATGTTGTTTCTTTCACAGTATATATAACTTTTCAATATAATATTATTACTGTCTTGGAAAGATAAAATAAGAATTTTTTCAATTTAGACTTGTAGTAAACAGGATGTTTTTATAAAATAAAAGAAAATAGAAACAGAATAAAAAAGAATAAAAAAAATAATTAAAAAAATATTAGAAAAAAATAAAAAAATAAAATAAAATTCACAATTAAATATATTTAAACTTTTAATTTTTTTTTTAATAGACTTTGAAATTATTAATAAAAATAATTTTCAATTTTCAATAATTTAATTTATTAAATATATGGATAATTATTTTTAAAGGCAACAAAAATACTAGATATGATTTTTTCGGACCTAGCTTTTAAACAATAAATATGTAATAAAAATTTTAGGATTATACCAGAAAATTTCCAGTCCACTTTCGAAAATAGTTATCCAAATGTTCTGTTTTAAACATTATTAAACAAATTAATATAAACAATTCAAAATTATAGTTTTAATTAATTTTATAACTTTGTCTTGATATTGAAATCAAAAGATAACAATATATAAAAATTTGATTTCAATAGAAAAACAATAAAAAAACATAAAATAAAAATATATAATAATTATAATTTTATTAAAAGAATTAAAAAAAAATTACAAAACTTCAGAATTTTATAATTATAATAATAATTATTATTTTTTTATAGCTGGAGAAAATTATAACCTTTTTATAATATTTTGATTAATTATAGATTACTTCTGATCTAATTATTTATGTATAGTTCATTTAATTAAAAGAATTAATTAGATAAATATTTGTTACACTTAGAATAATTATTAAAGAAAATTCTTATTCATAAGATAAAAAACAAAATTACTTAAAAATATTATTTTTCTAATAACAAAAGTTGATCCTCTAGTTTTTTCACAAATAGGTATTTGAGAATTCTTGAAAAAAAAAAAGAATATTATATAGAAAATATAATTAAAATAAAAAATATTAGTAAATATTAATAATATTTGATGATATTTATTTAAAGTTAATAAATTTTTAAAAATTTTAACAATACTATAAATTAAAAAAATAATATTTACTTATTGAACAAGAAAATAAAAAGACAATAATAATTTATTTTGTAAAAGTTAAAATATATATTAATAAAACAAAAGTTTAACCTTGTAATTTTTAAACAAAACTATAGATCTTTATATATACATATATTTGAGATATAATAAATATTTTTTAAAAATTTAAACAATTATTAATTATACTTTTATTTATAATAGATTACTAATAAAGTATAATTACAAATATAAAGACTAATATATAATTTTTTTAATCAAGAAAAGTTTAATCATGACTTTAAAAATTTATTTATCTATTCTAGTTTTTTTTTACCAATCACTTAAGCAAATATAAAAGTTTGTTAAAATCTATATTAATTTTTAAATGATATCTAGTAAAAAATTAAAGGGATTTGTGATATTCAATTATATGAAAGCATATACAGTATATAGATTTGTTTTCAAATCATAAATAAAATTTGACATACTTGCTTTTTAAGTTAATTTAATATATAATAAATGAAGTTATAAAGAGAAAAGGTTAGTTGATTATCTTTATGTATAAAAATGTAGCAATTACTTTTTACAGGTTGGCCTTCAAGTTACATAAAGAGTTTGGCATATTCATTTTTCAAGCAATATAATGATGGTAAATATATTGTTTAAATAAAGTTTTGTATTTTAAACAATAATACTATTATTAACTAATTGTTTATTAACTATAATAAATTTTTATCAATAATATAAATTTAAATATTTAATTTTTTTCTAAAAATTATAATTATAAAATTATTTCTTATATTTTAATTAAAAAGCTTATTAAAAATTATTTAAAAAAATATTATTCGAAATTTAATTTATTTAAACTTAATTTTATTTAAGTTGGTTTTAATGATTGTAAAAATTTTAAAATTTTAAGAATTTTTTAAAAAATTATTTATTAAAACTTTTTGAATAAATAAAATGATTTGTTGTTTATATAAATATTATAATATAATATATTTTATTAAAATAATTTATTATTGCACCGAAATTTTAGATAAGTTTGCTGAATTAAAACATAAATTTTAAATTGTTTTTTTAAAAAAATATTGCGAATATGAAATTTAAATATTGATACATCATTAGTTTATAAAAGGATATGTAATTAGCATTGATTTTTAAACAAATACGTATGAAATTAAATTCACTTGGATAGTTCACTAAAATAAAATAAAAATCGATATTAATAAATTTATAATAAAAGCTCAAAAATAATAAACAATTAAAAAACATTTAATGTAATCGCGTAATAGCATCTCTATTATAAATTCAACTTAATTCAGGTTTTATGGATCCTTGATTTCGAATAAATTTTGTTTACGTAATTTGAGTTTTTTATAATTTAAGTCTTTTGTACCCGAGTTCCAATTTCCATATTTCATATAACTTAATATGCAAAACCAAAGTTAGGTTCTAAAGAAGTAAAGTTCCATGCTCTGCATAATTAAGTTTAAAATTTTTTATATTAATAAAATTGTTATTTTTTGTATTGATTTATTAAATTTTAATCATCCAACGAATTAATTTTGGTAGTGGTATATATGCACGTATGGAATTTCAAAAAGTGAACTTTTGGAAGTCAGGATTGCTTCTCGGAAAATTGATATCTAATTTTATCGGGATCGGCACTCAGGCGTAACAATTACTGCATTACATACAGTATTTATTTCAATGCGGTTTCTCTGTAAAAAATTTTAATGAAAAAATGGAGTCGTTTAAAGATCTCTCAAAATGGCTCAATGATGCTATCGATAATGGACACATAATAGAATTTAATTACGATTCGCTTAAAGTAATTGAGCCTTGTTTGATAACAGCATTAAGTGGTATCAAAAAGGCTTATCAAATCGAATTCGAAAGGAACATTGCTCTTAAATATTTAAAGGATGATAGACATAAAAGCGAAGATGATTATTATAGAAATTTTGTCAGAGAGGTATTCTCTATTACTATTTATTTATTTATAGTTTTACAGTGACTTAAATTGCTCAAATTATAAAACAGGTACAAATTTTAACGAAGCTAAACGCGGTCAATAATAAAAATATAATTAGATTTTTAGGTATCAGCAAAGGTATAGTTCATTTAATGAATATTGGTTAGTTTGATTTCATATTTAAAATAACGGCTTAAGTCACATTGTATCAATAAATTTATTTTGTTATCCAGGTCTCTCGCCAAAATATTATTACATTATACTTCAACACGTATATGGTGAAGATCTTAGAACACGTTTGCAGGAAAAGTTTATTGAATTAAGTTGGCCTAGTAAAGTAAAAATGGCAAAAGATA